TTGATATATCAGTCTGACAGCCATCATCCATTTCAGGAGTGGCTTCTCTTCTCTACAGACCCACCTGCCTCTCTTGACATCTTGGCTTCACTCTACCACTGCTTTTTTGGCTTTTACTGGGTACAGGCTCTCCTTTAAATTAATAACTTCATTACTATTCTCCCAAATGAGATATTCCTTTTACTTKTAAAATGAGAAAGTCAAACTGCAATGCTGGGAATGCCAGAGGTAGGAAGGAGGGAATGGTGGATACCTCAGGTGTGTTAATGAGATCAAAGGAAATGGTCTCTGTTGTGTCTTTAATACTGACTTGCAAAGCTTTGCCTCCCCTTGATGGGAGGGAAGGGAATGCACTTCATTCTTGTATTGGGACATCAAACCCACATCTCTCCTGCTTGGATAAGTTTCTGGCCTTTCCCACTTCTCATTTTCTTCATATTTTTTTCTGATTTTGGTCTCCTTTTAGACATGGGAAACAACTTTGTTGGATGCCAAATTGTGTGTTTARTCACTGAATGCCTGTTTTTTGAACAAACAAGCTGCCATGGTTCTGAGGTTCAAGGTGAAGAGGGCTTAGGGAGAAGCAAAACTATTTTCTAGGTGCATGGAGCAGATCAAGGGCCCCTGTGCAGTGAACTATATCTGATTCAACACAGCCTGCAAAATTAAATCTTGTTCAGCTTAAGCATTTAATTACTGCAGATGTTCAGGAGATACTCTGTGAAGCATCACCTACTGGGGCCCTTTGGACAGATGCTGTTTGCTTTGACACTCCATCTGTCACTTTAAAATAATCACTGAAGCTTCAACTGGCACAACCCTGCAGGGCTGGCATCAAGGCGTGGCATGGAAGAGGTTAAAAATGAGGCCAAGGTCGTGGCATGCCATGTGTGCTAGAAGGTCAGTGCAGGATGATTCCCAGTTCTTGCTCTCTGTGATTTTCAGCAGAGAGCACTKTCTGTAGCGTTGCACAAGGATTTGGGTTTTGCTTTCTGGAGGATTTTCAACACCAATTGTATCATTCCCTTTGCTTGTCAGATCCTTAAATCCAGRGTGTACTTTGGAGATGAGCAAGATATGGCAGCAAATAATGGCTATGGCCTGAATCAAATGAAAAACTTGGTTGTTTTATATCAGCAAACAGAGATTTGGGACWCCATTGGGATCTACCAAAAGACAGAATCGTTATTAACTGGTCTCAGAAAAGCACAGTGCCTTTGGAAGGTTTATTAGATTTCTGCAATTAGTGTAAATCAGTTATTTGACTGATCTTCTCTTGGCTATTGGGCTGTGATACCCTGAGTTTTTGGTAGGATGTTCATTAACAGCTCCCAGCCACATTTGGTCAGTGAGACACTTTCACTCAGCTGAATTGCCCRTAACAGTTTCAAAAAGCTGAGAGTTTTTCAGGGCACCAAGTTGATATCATTCCTARTTTAGACATTCTGGTATTGGTGCCTGTAACAAGAGTGATTAACTCATAATTAATTGTAYTTATGGTTGTTGCACTGCTGTCAAGAGTAAGTTGGTAGAGGTTTCCCCCAGCCTGKTGACTTCCCTGCCACCTGGCCACGTTCACAGCAGGGATATTTAGCAGTTGTAAGAGGAGTTAGAAACGACCTCTCATGAGGGAGACCTTCAGGTTAGACTGTCCTTTCATTCTACAACTCACAAACAACAAGTTTTTGTATCAGTCACCCTGGTTTCCAGTGGGATGGGAGGGRATGACAGCTGATATTCCATCTTGCTGCTTTACCCAGGTCATCGAGTAGGAAACATTCAGGACAATTTTTTTTTTCTTTTTTTAATTGTCAGTGACTTGGTTATAGGTAAATATATCTTTTCCACTCCTCATTTTCTTCTAAGATCTAGGCCCTATCTAAGTAGATTATGAACATTGATTTAAACATTCAGTCATGCAAATCATTCTGTGAGGTTCAGTAATAGCAGCTAGGTCAAATTAGTGCTCATAAATGACTAATTCTATTTYCTCTTGTTTATTACCTAGGCTTTTGGCATTGTTGTATAGTTAATTAAATAATTTCTTCATCTCATCTTCTCTTTGTATTCAGTGCCTTCCTGACCATATCCTCCAATGGAACTCCAGCCAGGGCAGGGTTTATTGATGCAGCAGTTTTTGGGTGGTGGTTGGGTGCTCTCCTCACCTCCGAGTGAGCCCTGAACATTGCAGCACCAGGAGCTGCTGCCACCTCTGCCATTTCCCTCCTGCATCCCAACTGAGAGCTCAGGGATGGAGGTCAAGGGCTGCCTTTTTGTCCTGTAACACAGAATCCTGTCTCTGTCTCTCCTCTGTTCTGTGGAATTGACAGATTATTGTGCTTTGTCGTTTTTTTGTCCTTACTCCTGATTGAAAGGGATGTCTAACTTCAAGGGATGTGCTTTGTGTCAGGAGATCAATTAGGTTTGTTCAGTGTTCCTTCTGGTGATTTTTTTTTTTTTAATATACCCTTTTATGCTAGAAGGTCTGCTTTCTGTTGCTGCTTGTCCTTTATATAGTTTTTGTTCCCTTCTTCATCTGAAGGAGAATGTTTTTTCCTATTAAGTGGTGGCTTCTGCTGCTCCTCATCCCAGGATTTAAATAACTAGCATTTTTCCCTGTTTTGCCAGCCCTAAATTCACACAATATAACAGAAAACCAAGCCCATACCCTATCAAACAGAGACACTCCCACAGCGCGGTGACCCTCTTTCTGTCACCTGCCACATTTTTCATGCTCAACCTACAGCTGTGAAACTGTTTTTCCCCCTTCTCTTTGAACAACAAAGTCCAAAGAACACTCCTCAGTTTGATGCCTGTCACAATTTGCAGAACATCCTCAGACAGAAATGATACAGCTAATAGTGAGGGAAGAGTTGTTCTGAAAGCAGCAGCAGCAGCTTTTCATTGCCAGCTCTTCCAGTAGGTCTGAGCTAATAAGAGCCATGCTGCAAACTTTATTTAATTTGTATGGGCCTGGTCCAGAGCCTTGCTCTTGACTTCAGGGCCGTTGGATCAGGCTGCATGGTAGCTACAGCTTTGCTTTATGACTCAGTATCACTGTCTTGGAAAGCTTTCTGCCAAATCAGTCACTTTTTCCATTAAAACAGTCTCTAAGGAGAAAAATGAGTGTTCAGCTAGCTGCCTGCTACCAGAAAAGTCTGATTTTTCACTTGTGTATTTTTCCTAAATAACTTTCTCCTCCATGATAAACTCTTAGGCTTCAGGTGGGACAATTCTCTGAGTGCCTCACAGACAGCTGAGAACACCTGCCTGAATCTTTCCTAGCATGTTTGAATGTTCCTTTTTTGCTTTCAATGCATTTCCATGTTGTTACCTGAGAACAAACTAAATTTTTAGGAGTAAAATGTGTAGATCATGTTTCCAGTTAATCTACTGTGACAGCAGTTGCTGTTGTGTGACTAACTGACTTGTGACTAAATAATTATAATAGTAAAATAATCTTAGCCTAACACCATAAAAACTATGACTCTCTAAAGCAGTATTTTTTACAAGCTGAGCATATACTCCATTAGGGAAAAGGAGACTGCAGTACCCAGCTACACCATATACCTGCCTCTTTCCATGTAAGTGAATTCCAAAGATGGCTGGTTTAGGCTTGTATTTTTACTGTTGTTTTGCTTTTTTTTCTCTTTTTCCTGAGGGAGAAYGAAACTTGAGTTTTGTAGTCTGATTTGTGTTTTATTTTGTTCGTTTTGTTGCTGGAAATGATTAAGGGTGTGAAGTTAATCTGCCCAAATAACACACCTACTGCCACTCTGACTCAGTTCTTTACCTGCTCTGRAAATTTAGTTGCTGTTCCATCCATACTGCACTCAAGCCCCAGGAAGGAATTTAATTATTTTTTCTAAATGCAGATCAGTGTGTTGGACAAAAATTCTGTTTTAACAGGAGCTATAGAAGGAGGTAACTGCTCCTAGAAATTCCTGAGTCATCTGACATCCATCTGACCATCTTGCCCCCTAACAATAGGGAAAGATAAGCACAGGCAATTATAAAAACTGACATATCCTCATTATCCTCATGGCATCACAAAGCCCCCTAAGAACATAAAATTTCCCTTCCAAGATGAAGTTTGGTTTGAACAGAGAAAAGTTGAGATGGATGGACTGAAGTCACAGAGCAAACCACAGCACACCCCGTTGAAACAGGACATGACTGGAATGAATTTCCCACAGCTCAGAAGAAGAGGAAAGAAGTAAACAAAAAAAACAACTATTGGCAGTTTGCAATTTTGCTGCTGTCTGTTCCTCTTGTTGGTTTTCCTCCTCTCTGTTCTAGGACTTTTGTGGTAGTGCTATGAAGAATAATCAATTAATGCTTAGAAAGCAATTATAATGATTCCCAGTTTACACATGAATAAACAGAATGCAGCTTAGGTGACTGAGTCACAATCATTTTTGGAGTCTGATAGGGCACGGGCAGCAACAAAGAGCCGGCTCAGCACTTGTGCTCTAATTGCTATTTTGCCAGAAAAGTTGGGGCTGGAGATCAAACAGACAGAAATGAGTTGTAAAACTCCCTGAATGTAAATGGTTGTGCACTGTTTAAAAAAAAAAAAATTAAAAATAAATCACTGCATGCTGTAATGATTTCATAACTGCTACATAGCTAAGACAAGACTTGCCTGAGGTCTCACAGGATGACCATGGGTCATACCAAGGACAGCATCCAGATGTTGTGACTCTGTTGCAGTGTTCAAGCACAAGACCATCTTTTCTCCTAAAAATTTGATATTTGGTTTTAGAGTCCACAATCATACAAACCCATATGTGACACTTTCCCATGTGTTCAGCCCAAAACACAGTTAATATATTTAATATAGAAACATCCTTTTGATGTGCATCAGAGCTCGTGATATCCTGCTTTTATTGGCAAGTTCACAGCTTCAGCTCAGACGTGTGGCCCAGTACAGGGATTGCTCACTGATGTTACTCACAGCTCTCAGGGTGTGTTATGAGGATCATTCTTTTCTCTTCCAGGCATGAAGGTGTTACCATGATGTAAAACCAGGTCGTGGTGAGGTTCCCCTTMACATCTGGGGATGTATTTTGTGACTTGAAAACCCACAGAGCCCATATAACTGCAGAAGAACAAGCACAAGCCTTGCTCTCCTACTTCATACACTGTCAGCCAAACGAGCAAGCCAGCTTTGAGTCCTCCAGGGTCATTTTATTTTTAGGGMTGTTGCCTCAAGCAGGAAGAAAACAGCTTGATCTGTAGGCTCTGCTTTGAGCCTCCAGTGCTGGCAGCAAAAAGCAAGTTCTTTTGACGTGCAGGCTGAGTTGAACCCGTGGAACAATCTGCATGGGCCAGGGAGTCGCCGTGTTTTGAGTGCTGCTGTTCCGAGGCACAGCACATCCCCTTGTCTGTCACAGAGCTGATTTATTTTTGATCTCCTCAGCCTCCAGTTGACGTTCCAGCTGTTTTTCTGTCTCTGTTTAATAGCTGCTTTCTCAGGTTTTTCATTTTTCCTTGTTTGTCTGAAATCCATCTTGGAGACACTTGTTGCCCCATTCTCTGATCTGTTTTGAGYCTCTGCCAGCTGCTGCTTTTGCTGCCAGTGGATAAAACGACTGAGTCACCACTTTGTGAATTTTGCCTTTGCTTGTGGGGTGGCAGAGCCAAGGCCATCATGAACATATCAAGGAACCACAACAAAGGCCCAAAACACAAACAYTGGGACTGAACCTCAAAGCTTGTGCTGGAACCCGAGGAGGTGACAGCCAGCAAGAATCATACCGAGGGACCTCAAAGCCTTACCAACCTCAGTCCTGCAGGAACCACATCAGAGGCATGCACCTCATGCAGCTCTGGATCCAGGGAGAGGGTGTAAGAGAAAGATAGAAGTGACCAAAGGACTGTTTTATTGTTTTCCTCTTTTCATAATGCATTTAACACAGAAGATGTAAAAAAGACCCCAAAAACCATAAAACAAACAAACAAACAAAAACAACAACAAAACAAAACAAGAAACCAACCAACCAAAAAAAAAAAAACCAACAAAAAAACCCCAACAAAATAGAAAAAGAAAAATATGTTCTGGGTTATCACACCCAGCAAAGCTGCAGTGGAAGAGAACAGCCCTAAGTGCACGAGGGAAGGTGGACTGGCTCCTCCTCTGAACCATCCTGTGTGTCTTTGGGCCCAAATGCCTGTTTTGCCTTGTTTCAGCAGGTCAGGGGGTTGGCAGCCCATTCCCCACAGCAGCACCATTTCCCTGAGGTGATGGCAGCGTCACCACAGTGCTCCCACTGCCTTGGCTTTGACCTGTACCCACTTCCATGGAATTGCCCCAGCACTGATTTGGCTGTCAATGACTATTTTTCCTTGTTTCTCGCATTTTTTAAACATCCCGCTTCTCAGCCTAAAAAACATTACATCAGGAAAAAACTCTCTGGCTGACCAGAAGAACCACTGGGTTTGGGCTCCTYGCACTTCTGTTTTTGGGACAAGAGTTTGCCAAAAAGTCATTTATACCCAATATGGGGGGTCATTTACCCAATGTGGTGATTAGCTAAACACCAGGTGATGACCAGCACAGCAATGCTGATGCTGCTGGAAATTTTGCTGCTTAATTTTAACTTGATCAGTGTCATCCTTATGCTGCCAGCAGAGGCATGGGGGCATTTAATARGACTTGGGCATCACGGCTGTGTGGCTACGTCCAGGCTTGTTTGGCTACCTCCAGGTTTGTTCACTTTTGCTGATGGCATGGAGGTTTTTTAGAGATAGACAGCAGAAAGGCTGAAATGCACTCATTTAATCTTAAAGCAGAGGACRGGACTGTATCAGTGTGTCTTTTAAAATATCCTGGTCTGTTTGGCTTGTAATAGCCTTGTGGTAAAAAGATTTTTTCCTTCTTGGCCCTGATGCAAAAGGGAAATGGGTTCCTATTTGCATTGTCCCCACAGTGTTCGTGTAATTAATGTACGTGGGGGTTCTCCCTCCCCCACACTCTCCCAAGGTAAAAAATGACCTTGTCAAAACYTAGATTACAAAATCTTAGTTACTAAGCAATGGGTAGGGCCCCACTGGGATGGCATCCCGGCTCCTGAAATGGTATGTATAGTAAAAACTAATAAAAATGGTGTCAGAGGCTCTCAGGCTTCCAAGTCCCCTGCTGTGTGACCCCCTGATCCCAATTTATTAGCTGAACCCGGGGAAGCAGACAAACCTTCCTGGCTCCAGACTGTAGGCTCCAAGAAATCAAATAATGTGAGCTCCAGAGCAGTGGCTCCAGAGCAGGAGGGAAGGAAATCCTCGTGGAAAAAACAGGGGCTGAGAGTAGGGCTGGAGGGAGCTGCTGACAAGAGCCATCTGAGCGGGATGGGAAAGGGAAACTCTCTGTGATATCTCAGTACCTCGACGGTCAGATGCTTTAAACATGTCAGGGAGGAAGCACAGGAAGGGGGTGGGGAGAGTGGGGTTTGGGAGGAGGCAACCAGCTAAAGTTGTTTCCTTTCATGTGTTAGCAGTGCCTGCGCTGCGAGCTCACCTTGTGCTGGTGACGGAGGATTTAGCAGCTGGGGGTGGCAGATGGAGTGGCAAAGAATGTGCCCTGTGGGTCACAGGGGGATGTGCCTTCTCCCTTCCTGCTCCCCAACTGCAAGAATTTTCTCTTGAAAGCAATAAAGGTGGTGCAGCTCATCATGTTGCTGCTACCCCCCTGGATTTCCTCTTTGCTGTGTGATACACATAGCAATTAAAGCATCTTGCACAGGGGGAGTGAAGGTTTTTTTTCCATCTTTTTTTTCCTCCTGAAAATCTGCCAAAGCAAAGTGATATTGATAAAGATGGCTTGCTTTGATTAACGGAGGCTGACTGAGGAACAGCACCTCCAGCCTGTTTCCCTTCCCCTCTTCTGCCTTCAGCATTTTCTCTGCCTTCAGCAGTTGTCTGTCTGTCCTGCATCTCGAATCTGTGCCCAAATCGAGCCTGAGTAGARTAAGAAGCATAACAATAACTCTCCTTGTTTAATGCCAGCCCTTGCATTTGGAGTGTTTTGACTTCCCAAGGGTGATGTTATCAGGAGAAGGCACTGCGCTTCTGTAAAAAAAGCATGATTATACAGTAAAATAGCTAATTATGCAAATGAAGGGACGAAGACCATGTGGATCATGATCTTATGGCAGTAGAGCAGGCCTGTCCCATTTGCCAAGTCTTAATTCAGGTGTAATTTGCTGTTTGGAAATGTATTGTGGGATTCCTGAGCAAAGTCTGGCCCATGGCTTCTCCTACTYAGTGACCCAAATGTTTGTTTCTAAGAGCAGACCAAAAGACAGGCCCACAGCTTTATCTGCCTTCATGACATCTGGCTTGCACGAAAAGAGGTTGTGGTTTTATTCCTGCTTACCTGGAGGTATCTTTGAAAAATATTTTCTGATGTAAGAGCAGGACAGATAACAAATTTGGGGGCTGGAAGAACATGTGYGTACAAGCAGGTTTTCTGCTTCATGCTACGAGGAAATAAGGCTGCAGCTCTATAAATCTGGGGTTTCCTGGTTCTGTGTTGTTTCTTTTTAAATCACTGCCAGGGTGATCAACTGAAACACCCACATCATTTGCCTTTTCCATAGTCAAACACAGGAATTTTTGGAGCTTTGTCTAAAGGAAAGAAATGCAACGTGCTCTTCCTCTCTCACTCCTTAGCTGTGATCAGTGCGAGWCTGAGAGCAAGCAGAGGTCCTTGGTAGAGGATCAAGAAATGCTTTCTCCCCTGGATGCACACTACAGCCTAAAGCTGTCTCCAGGCTTGGCTCAGGTTCTGCTGTTGATACCAAAAAGAGCCTCAAATGCCATTGGTGATTTGCAGCTTGGTGTCTGCCTCTGCTGTGCGGTGAAATTGGTGGGATTGTACCAAGAAAAGGTGGATGATGAAACGGGGCAGGGGCAGAGCCTGGGCTGGAAATGATGCTGCACCTGCCCTTCCTGGAGCTGGGTGTCTCCACTCTTCCCAGTGGAGCTCCTACATCCCTGTGCTATGTCCCTGTGATCCCAAACAGGTTGGCTTCCCTTATGCACAGGCTTCATGCAGTAAGAAGAATCCTCAAATCGGGACTAATGGAACAGCCACCCTGCTTTGGGGTATATGTGGGTGATGGTGTGAGGATGGAAAAGGCAAATGATGTGGGTGTTCACCATTGGGTTGATGGTTTGGGGCAGTTGCACAGTGCAGCCACGAGGTTTGGGAAAGGGAAGAGATCTCCTTTGGATGAGTGCTGTTGTACAATTTGGTTGTGTGGATACTCAGACYCCACAATTTAAGAACAGCAGACCTTTTTCCTCCCTCACTTGTGTGCTGGATCAGCCTGRGGATGGCGAGTCTGGGTTCCCCCTAATGTGGATCCCCCATAACCTTGGGCAGCCCTTACCATTTGTGACTGAGCTATCACTTTCCTCAAGATAAGCAGAAATTGTGTGTGTTGTTGGATGACTTTTATCTTGCCATCGCAGCCAGTGTGCACTTTCACTGTGARAAGAACTGCTTTGCTTTATAACTTGCATGTGAGGAGGGATTATTTTGCAAGAGGTCATGGGAGAGTGAGAGAAGTTATGATCAAGTTGTGCCCTCTGGAATATGCTGTGGGATAAAGATTTGGAGAGTGATATTTTCACTTTTCTTCCTTTCCCTTTTTTGATGTTGATTCAGAGCAGAAATGACCTTGGCCGTTTTATGTCAGCAAAGATGCTGAGCAGATCTGAAACAAAAGGAGAAAAGCAAGTCACTGTTTCATGTGAATTTGTGGTTCAGTTGAATGAAAGCCCAGTCTTGCCAACTCATGATTTGATCATCAGTGCTACAGTCCTTTCCTATAGCTCCAGGTCTTGAGTTACAGAAGGTGTTAAAATATATCCTACTCACCACCAACCCCCCTTTGCCTGTAGGTTTCATGATTTCAAAGAAAATATAGGAAACATGACCTCAGAGCACCCTCAGGATTGAGGTGGTGGAAGGCAATGGATTAAAAACTGACTCAGACTGTGAAGTGAGATGGTGATCTCCAGTTCAATAAAAAGATTTTTAAAAAGGGGGGTTCAGTATCTCTGAGTCAAGCTTTGAGAAATAAAAGAGAAATTCCTGGATTTGGGATCTGAAAAGGAGCTTCAAGTCATTCATTTGTAGCTCCATGGATTGTGCTAAGTAGGAGGGAGCTGAGTTTGCAGAAGTGTCATGGGATCTGCATGGCAGATGTGAAGGCAGGAGAGCAGMTTTTGTGGATTTTTACCAGCCCTGTGGTCTTGGTCACACTTGTGTAAATCCAGAAGAACACAGTTGTCTTGTGTAAACCAATGATTTCTTATTATTACCAAGTCAAAAAATGCAAAAAGGGAAAAAGGGATCTTCTTGTGTCTGCCTCAAAGCTACAATACAATTTGAGGGGGTTTATCTGTGTGTTGTTTTTTTTTTTTTTAATTTGTGTGGTTTTTTGTTTGTTTTTGGTTTTGTTTTGTTCTTGTTGGTTTTTTTATTATGGGGAAAACCTTTAAATATCTGTGGGACCCTGAATTGTCCTTACTAGCACCAAAGTTTGGTGTCTGCGTAAATGTAGGGAATCCTTTATTTGATGCTATCAATACTGTTGGATATTCGTGAGCAGGGTGAACATCCCCACAGAGAAAATGCATTAATTGRTACATCAATTATTACTTTAACAGAGCTGAAAGTTACTCATGGATTTGGAACTGCAGTAAATGCTGTACTCAGTCCTACAAAGCCAATGATCAAACTAATACTCCAGTGGGAATCCAAAATCTCCTTCCTACTCCCATTCCTGACCTTGAGAACACGTTTGGGAGCAGKAAAGGTGCTTTGTCTCTTCCTGCTGTGTCAGTTTGTCCAGTAAAGAGGTTTYCTTGGGAAGGAAAAAGAGGTATTTTGTAGTCAGTAAGTTATGGGCTGGTTTCTG